TTCACGGTGGTTGGGGAGCTGAGGTGGGTTCACGGTGGGGAGCTGAGGTGGGTTGACGGTGGCTGGGGAGCTGAGGTGGGTTCATGGCTGTGAAGATGCAGTTGTTGAGGTGGGTTGATGGCTGGGGAGCTGTAGTAGCTGAGGTAGGTTCACGGTTGTGAAGATGCAGTAGCTGAGGTGGGTTCACGGCTGGGGAGCTACAGTAGCTGAGGTGGGTTCACGGTTGTTCCGAAGCAGTAGGTGAGGTGGGTTTACGGCTGTGAAGATGCAGTGAAGAAAATGGTGAAGAATGCAGTGAAGAAAATGGTCCACGCCTCAGTCAGATGCAGTGCAGAAAATGGTGAAGCAGTGACGAAAAGTGAAGAAAAATGGTGAAGAATGCAGTGAAGAAAATGGTTTAATTTTCTTAGTCAGATGCAGCGCAAAAAATGGTGAAGCAGTCACGAAAAGTGAAGAAAATGGTTCATGCAGTGCAGAAAAATGAATAAAAAAAAAAAAAATTGAAACGGTCAAAACCTAAGAAAGCTGTGAAGATGTAGACAATTCAAACTTGTGTCAGGATCATGTTTTGGGGATAGAGTTTTGAAAAAAATGAACCAAACATTATTTTAATAATCTGATCTAGAATAGGAATAAAAATAATGAACCAAACATGCTGTTTGTTCTTTTTCTCCTCACATTGTATAAAGTACACGAACAAAATTTAGTTTTATTTTTATAATGATATCTTTTAATTAGGGGTGAAAGTCGAGTCAAGACCGTCACGCTCGGCTAATTAAATGCTCAACTTGGCTCAATTACAACGTCGAGCTGAGTTCTAACACAATGCTAATCGGCTCGAAAAGCTCATGAGCTTCAACAAGCTTGAAGGTGCATCTGATAGTTTTGAAACTAAGAGGGAGTCATACAAATTTTATAGTTTTTAAAATTGCAAATCCACCCATATTCAAATTATGTAAAAGTCGAATTGGATTTGGGGATTAAAAATTAGAAAGAAACCCTAAAATATAAAAACTCCCTCCTTCGCCTCCTCCTCGTCTTTGTGTGTAATCCAAGCGCATTCTTCCGATCAGGAAGTGTCTTCGAAATACTCTTTTTTTGCAGACATCTCTTAACCTACGCCATGTATTTGGGGCGCTCTTTTTCAATGCTCAAGCCGAACAAAATCTCATATGTGTGAAAATAACAGTAGTGAGGAACCAAACAAATATCCACGAACCCCAAGGTTTCACCTCCGAAGAATGGCTTTTCTCCAAGCTCATCTTCCAATCTATTCAGGATTTTAACGAATTCCCTCTTTGCTTCCTCCTAATTTTCATCTCTTGTTCTCCAGGTCTTCCTCCTAGCTTCAAACACCTGCATTTTTTTTTCCTACTATGTTTATTGAAATCTTTGATGGGAAATACAGTGATGGAGGGAGGATTTTGTTGTTGTGGGACTGGGCCCCAGTCACTGGGGTACCTCAAAGAAAAAATTTCAAATATTATTGTTCATGGAAATTTGTTTTTTTTTTTCATTTATTAAATTTTGTTAATAAATATTTAATTTTGAATTTATTTTTTGTGTTTGATAATAATAAAGTGTCATATGTGAGTATAGTTCAGTTTCAGGGAGAATATTGTGTATAAGAGTCTAAGGGATCAGAGTGTCATATGCGAGTAGAATAGAGTCAGGAATAAGTTGCCAATACGCTGCGTTTTACTAAAAATGCAGTATATATGTGCTTTGTACTGTAGCTTTCGTCTTTTTAAGCAAAAACAGAAATACCCAGATTATTTGACTGAATCTGTTACTCTTTTAACCACTTTCTCTTCTTCTTTTCTCAAAGATTTTTGCTGCGATTCTTTTCTCTTCAGATAATAATAAAAATTATTTTTAGAATTAAAAATATTAACTAGAGTTGATCCCACTGGAATTTTTGGCAAATTTTAGATGGCAAATCTTTCATTGTCTGCTAGAATTTTTTCTGATTTTTTCAATCAGCTTGAGCTCGAATTAGAACTCGAGCTTGAAAGCTCAATTAACCGAGCTCGAATTCGAGCTCAAGTATCCCTTTAAAGTACCGAGTTCAAGTTTGAACTCGATTCTTCAAGATCGAACTCGAACTCGGTATTGTAGCATTCGAGCCAAGCTCGAGTAGTCAGATACTTAGCTCAACTCAACCCAATTTCACCTCTAGTTAGTTCTAATCATTGATCCCCAAGTTAATCTATTGTTCTTTCTTTGATTAAAAATTAAAATCCTAATTTCACCACTTATGTGGCAGAGATATTGTTGGATGCTTGGACAATTCACAACCACATTCAGAACATGGTGAGAGCTAGATAGGGCTATGGACCTCAATAAAATGAAATATTTCATGGTCAATATAAAACTTGTGGAGATTTGGAGATTACCTATGATTATCTTGAAAACCAACATGTGACGAACATGGGTCTTCCTAACCCAAAGATTGTTGTAAGGTAGGAATGATGTTATGTATTGTTGTTCTTAGTCTTGTTTAAGTTTTTATGAATCCTATCTCAGAGCATGTCCTATGGTAGGATGTCTTTGTCTTTATGTTCTTTTGATTGCTCCTCTCCTCTTTGTCCTATCCTTCGCATGCTTAATTTAGACAAATAAGAGGAGATTAAGTTTTCAGTGTATTACGCTTGTGTTTTTGTTCCTTTCCCAAGATCTGTCCTGAGGTAGGATGATCATTTTTTTATGACTTCTTTGTACATTTTTTCTCTCTTTTAATGATACTACTTACTTAAAAAAAAAAAAAAAAAAAAAAAATACTCATAACTCTTTTGATACTTTCCATAATTTTATAAACTCCTTTTTATATTGGTTACACCATGTTAATTCTTTTTTTAATACCATGCATATGCATGACAGTCACATAATACTAGATTTTCCTTCTTGGAGGCGAATATCAATACCAGGATTCCCGGTATCGAACAAGATGCTTAAGTAAAATTTTATTCATCCAGTTTAAAATATAATTTGATTCTCTATGAGAGATTAGATTAGACTCTCCACTTGATGGTTCACTTCAGATTCTCTTTCAAAGAGCATTTTTCTTGTTTCTATCCTACATAAGAAATTCGGAAGTAGGTTTAACAATATGCTATAGAAATGGTTGCTAAGATTTCTCAGTAAAATAAATGAAAAAAGTATCCTAAATGCTGATAATTGATCTTAAACACCCATTTGTTTCCAAGTATATGCATATTTGAAGATATTTATCTCCCATAGCGGCATTCCACTACAGATGAGTTAAGGCAGTAGTTATAGAAGTTGATCCAATAAATGATTCAGTAGAGTGAGTTATATATATTTGTTTTGAAAGATAGAGTCTACATTGCATGAATAAATTTTTTTGTAATCTATTTGGGGGTTATTATCTCTGATTTTTTTAAGTTAAAGTTTCATAAGTTATCAGCAAGACTTCCTTAATTATGTCAAGTAATTTTCATTGGAGCTTCATAGCAACACCGAGTTACATGGTAACTTAAACTGTTACGGCATATTCTTTGAGAAATGAAGATTGGGAATGGGTACTATAGAGGAGAGACAAGAGTAAGAGGAAAAAGTCTTGGGTGGCATCCATTCATGAAGTGGCAAAATTAGTCTACGTTATGTTGGAAAGTTTAATTTATAATTGTCACGCCCCCTCCCAAGTATCCCTATCTCATCGGATCCGGGTGCTCCGAGGGACTCAGGATCCCAAAAGGAGGGTGAATATTTTCGAAAATGTTTTTCTTAATAATCCCTTTAAATAAAACATCATAATTAATCTCCATGTAAAGTGTTCAATTACCCCTTATATTTTTAAATTTTGAATCAACCCTTATACTTTTAAATCTTTAAGTCAACTTTGTAAACTTTTGGATTCAATCAACCCCCAAAAACTCTGAAAACATGATAGTTTCCCCCCTTCAGAATAAAGGAGTCTAATTCAAGAAGGGGGACATTCCCTAAGGCCCAAACCGAAAGAATTAAAAGGGTTTACAAAAGAAACTGGGCCATATTATTAATAGGCCAGCCCACCGAATAGTAAAAATCCAATACCCAATAAAATAACTAGGCCTTATTAATAAGTTAATAGGCCAACCCACCATATAGAATAAATCCAATACCCAAACAATATGGCTCCGTTTGATTCACAATTTTGTGTTTTTGGGAAAAGTTTTCTGAAAAAAGTTAAAAAAAAATTAAATTGGGCGGATATTATGATGTAGAATTTACAAATTATAAAATACCCTTATAATTTTGGAAAAATACTTCCCTAAATTATCAATCTAAAGTACGATTTTGAAAGTATCTTTGTGGGATAAACTTCAAATTATATCTTATGAAATTAGATCTAAACTCTCTTTTTGTGGCCGGATGGCAAACCCTTTAGTTGCTGGAGTTAAATTCATGGGTCTTGTGTTTGAATCATAGAAGAGGTAATTATTGGGTTTACCCTAAAAAAAAAATTAGACCTAAACTTATGAAGTATGAATAGAAAATACTTTATGAACAAACTATTTAAGCAGACTGATGTGTTTTTTAAGTGACAACACAAAAGAGAGGGTTCCAAGTTTACCCTTCAACATGTGGTATCCATGAATGGCCAAAGAGAAGATGTGACAAAAGATTCTAACATTATTTATCTGATCATTATCTCTCGTATTAACAAATCAATAATTTCTTTTCTACAATTTTTATATTTACTACTTGTGCTCATTGTCCTCCGAAGGGTATATAAGAAAGGGCCTCTGAAAGTTTCATACCAAAGTTTTACTAAGAATTACTTTCTAATTATATAAATTAAATTACTAAAAAGAAATATATATATATATTGTTGTTTTACAAACTTCTAATTTCATAGGTTAATCTTAACACCTATCATTTAAAAACTATATATTAAAATTTTAGAATATTGATTATCTACTGTATATTAAGCATGACACTTGCTAATTTAATTAAAAATCATATCATGAATTTCTAGAAGAAAACCAAGAACTTACATCATAACAACGAAGAGCGTCATCATCGCTGGAGAAATTATGGAGAGATCAAACACAGATTCACCAGTATGCCTCGAATCAACCACTTGAAACAATGAAGCAACGACTTTCTGGTAGGCATTCATACCATCCATGGCTTACTGAATTCCATTCCGAGGCACAAAACAGCACAAACTGAAGAAATATGAACCCAAATGCCGTAACACCAAGAAGAGAAGAATAAACGCCAGATAGCATGTGGCGATAGCCAATCTCTTTGTAATTCTTCAACATGTATTCAAACTCCCCTTGGTTTGTCACCTTCTTCAAAACCCAGATGAGAAGTCGCAGGAAAGATGGATACAATGTGTTGCCAAGGACGATTTGTGGGATTAGAACCCAAAGAAGGCCTGGATTTGTATTAAAAACCATCACGTTTTCATTGGTAGGGACGAGTCCAGAGTTTGAGAAAGTTGAAACAATTAAGAATACAGAAAATGTTAGCGTATGAAGGCCCTTGTTTTTTAGTACTTCTTTTGCATTTTGAACAAGGCTTATATACAAAAAAACTAGACTAATTCCACCTACATGAACAACTAAAAGATAACCTAGTACTACATAAAACAAATATTTAATTGAATTATGAGTTGAAGAATTTTCATTATCATCTTCTGAGCTATTAGTATTTGTAATAATATTTTGATTCTGGTTTTGTGTATGTGAAGAATGTGCCAAACCCAGCTCAATTTGGTCTTGAAAATTTGCGTTTTGTAAAGAAGAAAGGTCGATGTTATAATCTGAACCGACTCTATTTCCAAGGAAATGATTTCTGGGAAACTTGTAACGTACATAAAGTTCAAGCCAGGAGACGAAAACTTCTCCACCTATAAGCATCAAAACGATCAAAACGATGAGTTGAAAGTGAGAGAAAACCTCCATTTCGATTGTTGACATGCTTGAATTTGTCAATGCGGACACGGAGGTGAAGAATAAATCAAAGTTTTTTGGGCGAAAGGAGGTTCTTGGATTTGAGAACCTCAAAGCTAAGTATCCTGCTAAAGAGGAAATTAAGAAATAGACAAGCTGAATCCAGAAAGGATATACTTTGACAATCACGACACGAAAACATGACCAAATTAAAACCAAAACAGATTTGTTAAAAGAGGCGATTCTGATATGTTGTGAGTGAATGCTGAAACGGCGTCGTACTGAATTAATGGAATGGTGTCGTTTTGAGACAGCTCCTGGATGATCCTGACCACTAATTCAGAAGGAAAGCCAACGGCTGAGATCAAGCCTCCAGTCAACACTATAAAAGGATTAGGGTTTCCTGTTGTAACAGTAGATCAAAAACACAAAAAGGTTGAGAGCAGTTTTCGTTTTTCTTAGAAAACTAGGGTTCTTTCTTTGGGTCTGATTTCTGTGTAATCTGTGGGTTTCTTGAGTGGTTTGGGTTAATCAATCAAGGGAAGAACTACTGTGTTCTGGTTATAGGGATTTCCAGGTTAGAGGAGTCCTAGGGCAGATTACGGGTTCAGATCAGTGTTGTTCGATCTGGGTTTCTTGGGTGTCATTCTTTGTAATCGTGACTGTAATCGGGTGTTCTTTAATCATAGTGCAGCGAACTCTCTTTCCAGAGTTCAACGTGGATGTAGCTTGCCCAAATCGGGCAAGTGAACCACGGTAAAGATCCTGTGTTTTTGTTTGTGGTTTTCTGGTTTTCTTGTTTGTTTCAGTTTGCATTATAGGTTGATTGCATAACATGATACTTGAATGATTACAAAAATCCTTTAGATTCTTACAAAAAGAAGCAATAGTATTCATCTTTACAGAAAGAAACAAGGCCTGATGAAGTAGCAAAGTGAGGTGGGTTTTAAAGACGAATATTGGGCAAAGGTGTAACTTTAGTCATCTGTTTATCATCATCAGTTCCATGTTAATTAGTGCGAGGTAGAACATTTTTTTTTTTTAAATTTTCCATTTGCATCATTGATGACAATAATCATTTGAGGTTTGACTAAACGACCAAAATCTCCTTTTAAGGACTTTAAAATAACCAAAAAAAAAAAAAAAATCAAATAGTTGGTATGGGATTCAAAGAAGTTTGCTCCATTTTTTTTAATTTCTGGATTCAAATCTTGAGGTCACCTACCATAATAGCTTTGTGATTTACCTAGTTCTTTAGTATTGTACAGTGTTCAATGGACTTCGAAGATTAGTTGAGGTATACATAAATTGACCCGAACGCTCCGATTACCAAAAATAAATATATAACAAAAATTATTTTTTGAATAAGTTTTAATTGTTTAAATGAATGATAGAAAGATAATCTGATAAATATTCAGAAATTCCTAGATATTGCTGTTTATCAAAAAATTTAGGAGATCAGTGTCCTGAATTCATTATTGTAATGATAGCTGTATATTTAGCCCACACTTATTTTTTCATTAGTTATGGGTGATTGAAAGAATCATATTATTTAACTTGATATATTTAAATATTTACTACTAAATTTTGACATATAGTTTCTCTTTCAAGGTATCATAATAAATTTTTCTCTTTACATCAGTCTTATGCCCACAGTTGGAGACAACTCAACTTTGACCCTGGTCTCCTTTAGTTGGCAGCAATCCCCACTTTAAGGCTCCAATGGTGTCATGACCAAGCTTTAAAATTGATGCTATCCCACTTTGCTAACAATCTCCCTTTATAGGTTCAAGATACTTAAATTTATGACAAGGCTTTGATATCACTTGTTAGGATCAGACATAACAGTAGACGAAACATTGTAGTTATTAGTAGGCTTTGATCCAAGGTGATGGGGTGACTCGAACCTCCAACCTCCGCTATACTGTTAACTCACATAGCTAGCAATCTCCCCTTCAACATCAAGGTGGCTCAATCCCCTGACCTCTACCAAGGAAGATAATGGCCAACTTAGCCAACAAATTGATGTGAAATAACTCCTTCGTTGCCCTATTATTTATTCGCGGAGTATTTATTAAATTAACTTTTTATATGAATTTTATCCATCCAATTTGTGTCATATTCATATATATTTAAGAGTGTTGATGCTTGATTTTGACATCAACGACTCACATGTGCAAAGTGCTAAGCAGACTTAGAAATTACACGTGATAAGGAAAAATGAAATGAACCAACGAATGAGAAGCGATATTTAAAGTGGTTTGGATGCTCAAAAGTGAATCATACGTCCATTGCTATTGTATTAATAAATGGGTGAAAGTAAGTTGCGTGTGGCGAGCTAAGTTACAATCTAGAGGGAATACACAGAGAGAAAGAGAGAGAGAGACAGAAAGTGTGTAAGATGTTTTAGACTAAGATTAGCCAATCTCATAAATAAGAGGGGTGTCCTCTATTTATAGTGGGAGAGTTCAAGGTAATGAGTACAAGTCTGCAAGTGGGTAGGTGCCGTGCAAATCCTTCTTTGCGTCCTATTGGTTATCTGCATGAGAAATATCCTCAAATTGCATAAGGCTTGGGCAGGTGGATAATCCCTGACCACTCATGAGTCTGACATTCACTTGCTGCACTGACAAGAACCATACATCTTCCATCACTACATGATGTGGCAGCGCCTGGACAACACAAAACTTTCATGAATCTTGATTGGCTCTTGCTGACAAGATTCCATGTCAGCCTTAACTTTTCAGGCATAACAAAAGTCCCCTAGTTTTTAAGGTTTAAGGATTGAACCTTGAGAACTTCAAGATTATGCCGCAACTTGACTTGTCCGCTTGGTCGAGCTGACTGAGCTGCAAGGAGGTGGCAGCACGTGTCTCTAAGGGTAGCACAAGTGACCTGAGATAGCCTTCCTCCACAAGTCCAACAACCTGGATCAGGCCCCATTTAGTGTCGTACCAATGTGTTTCAAATCTCATCTGCGGTCCATGACCTAAGAATACTTAACATATTTTTACTAAGGACAGGGAATCGCATTGTCTCCAAATCAATATGCGACGAAGAGTGTTTTGCCCAAATGACCTCTTCAGATGTTATTCGTTGCGCTTGACAGCTAATCTATTTAATAAAATAATCTTTATTCTGACAGACGTTTCTAGTGCGCAATAAGTGCCAGCCATGTGCATTAAATGTGAGCCGTGCTAAAATGACATTCGCTTTCAGAGTATTAAATACAAATGAGGGTGCATTTAATGTGGAGGAGATAATCGAGTCATTAGGAAGCATCAATTGGCATTCTCAAAGCGTGGTGGTTACTTCTTCTCATAGATTGATGACATGCGGTCGCAATCAATGGTGAGAAACATATTCTGCCCAAGCATTACTTACCTTAGGGTGATCAATCATCGCTTCCTCCCCTGTAAAACCCTAGGCTTGCCTCAAGCTTTGTCACGAAACTCATACTTTTAGAGAAAGAACAAAGCTATCATGAGGCTAGTCTCCCCTTTTCCCAGTTGGTGCACACCCTTTATTTATGATAGAAAGTTCGTTCCCCACAGCCAAAAGGTAAGGAGGATTTCTCCTTTGCTTTTCTTTTACTATTTTGTTGATAACTTATCTTGACGATAATGGTGGGTGTGAACTATTTGGTAAACTTTCGTGGTGCGTATTTATAGGCTGTTGTAAGGAGAAGGTTTTTTTCTTTCATAAACAGTAAGAATTTTAGGGCATGAATCCTTGGGGGTGGTCCCCAAGGTTTTTTAGGGTTTTTCTAGGGTTTAAGGAAGGTACATTAAGGTTTTTTTGGTTCTTCCATGTCATCGTACAAAATATTGTACGAAGACTGGGTTATCTCTACATGTCACCCCTTTTTTAGACCTCAGAAGTGATGGATGCCTCAGCGACTAAGACAACCGAGGGGACGAGCTCGCAGGCCAAGATGCCTCAACAAGTCTCGTGTAAGAGATTTTGTCAGTGGCCTCCCGAGATGAGATACAAAAGGCAGTGGACCAATAAACACTTAGCGTGGACGTCTACCAGCACAGAACATATACAGCTCAAAATCCCCTAGAGGGAATGGCCAAGATCTCTGAGGCGATCTTCAAATGCGGGGCGTTGATACATTTTCACCCCTTCATTAGGTCGATCCTCGATCACTTTGAGATCGCACCACTGTAACTGATGTCCAACGCATATATGATAACCGTTGCTATGTATATCGCGTGTGGAGAGAATGGCCTCGGTTAGCTGATTGCGCTAGAGCTTGCATGCTCTTATTACCTAAAGAAAAGCAATGATAAAGACTCTTTTTACCTCTCAAATTGATCTACGATCGAGGAGGAATATTTGGTTACCCCAGTAATGTCGGGGCCTATGAAATCAAATTTTTCTTTTTCCAATATGATGGTGTCTGCCAGTTTAGGGAACCGGGTAGGTTTTCCCATTTTTTACTTTGTGAATTTTTCCTTTTCCTTCATTCTTTGATTTCTAACGAACTTTTCTATCTCTTTGCAAGAAATAAGACGACCAGGTTGATGACTCTGCCTAATTTTAATCGAATTGTAGCATTTGGTAATCTGCCCAAGCAAAGTCGAGACGCAAGACTGCTCGTGACTATCGCCAACTTGAGGAAATACAGTTTCCTCAATTCCGAAGCGTCTCTAGAACCCTTAGTTCATAAGTGTCCGCGCGCTTTAGAAATTCTTTCTTTTGCATGCAATGACCTTTTTCACTAATCATGCTTTCATGCAACGACCATGCCACCCAAAGTCTTGAGACCGATGACAAGGACTAGGGCCCGCGACTGCTTGCGCCCTTAAGCAAAAAACCATCAGCCAAAAAACTAAGAAGAGAAAGCAGTTGCAGGTTGAGGAATCATAGTTCGAGCCGGAGGGCTTAGGGGTACAACTCGGGAGGTGGTAGCCTTACCACGCCTTCCACTCGGAAGCAACTCTAAGGTTTGCACCTAGCATTTCGATAGTCCCAGAGCACTCACGCAGATGACAAGGGGAGGCCACAGTCCCTCGAAAAAGAGCAAGCAAAGAGCCAATTGGCGAGATGCCAGTTCTTATAGGGGCAGCCACACCTATGTTGGACTCCATGGGACAACTTCTGGAACACCTGTAGCCGGTGTGTATACCCTGTTGGGGTGCCAACTTGCTGCGGCTTTTGAGGAGTTTGTGGCCTCTCGACCTACGAACCTGATTACTACAGTGCTCCAACTGCAAAGCCAGGTAGGGCAGCTCGTCCTTGTTGAGGATTTCCCAATATCGGTTGTTTTTCATACCCTTCATGATTATCAAAAAAATGTAGTTTAACCTTTGTTTCCTTTCTCATGCAGTCTTTGCTTGCCCTGCGTTTGACCCAACATGAGATCAACCTAGACTTTGTTGGGGGGCTCTATGAGCTAAAGGAAGAAAATGCGAAGCTGAAACAGGACCTAGCGGCTATGGACACAGAGGCAAAAGCATACCACATCCAAGTGAATCAATACCTATTAGAGAGGAACTTTGCCCTTCGCACAGTAGAGTTCCAAAAGGCTTAGTTCAAGAAGAGAGGCAAAGAGATCAAGGAGCTCCAGAGGACAGCGGCTAGACTCATCAAAGAGTGTGGCAAGAAAAAGCAAGAGCTACAAGTAAACTTTGAATGGGCCATAAAGGCAGAGGAAAAAAGAGCTCGGTTGTGGGAAAACATGAAGAAGCAGAAAAGAGCACTAGAGACAAACCTTGAATTTTCCCAAGGGTAGGTCACTTCATTAACTGATTAGATGAAACAGAAAAGCCTGAAAATTGAGAGGAAGGCTACTGACTAGGCGATTTAGGCCATCTATAGCTTGCGTCTAAGGAATCTGGGGATAGACCTTTCCAACCTCCCGATCGAATACTAGAACATCCTCACTTCCATGGCGGACACTGACTATGACTTTGAGAAGGAGGAGGGACAAGAGCCTTCTCTAAAGGGCGATCAGTCGGAGGAATATGTCCCAGAGGACCCAATAGTTGACTAGGTGGTCGGCGACCAACCGGGGGACACCGAGGTTGCACTCGTAGGGCTTGGAGGTGGACACCAGTGATCGCTTCTTCTGGCTTTTGCACAACCTTGCCTTTAACTTTATTTTTGCATTTCCTTTAGTCTTTCTGTACTTGTCTCCATTACATATATAAATAAAAGAAATATTTTCTAGCCATTTGTGATAGCACTTATAATTTGCGTACTCCACAAGATTAATGTTACATATGCGAGTAGGAAACTTGTAAAAACATTGCGACCAACAAGATCATTGTAACGCCCCACTTGAGGTACGTAGTTAAGATTTGATGAATGGCTTGAGTGTTTATTGATTTATCCTCATTTGCGTCTGTATATTGTTAATATTGCTTGGTTTACCCTTGGTTGAAAGGGTGTATTGGTTTGGTTGTGTGGTTGCCCTGAAAATTTGTAAGACTTGGCGAAATCTTGAGGTTACAGCCTTCGCCGGGGTGAAGAAGAATCTTCACCGCGGCGATGAAGTGCTACGATCCCGTAGCTGCTGTGATTTTTTGCCGGGGCGAAGAAATATCTTCGCCGCGGCGAAGACTTGGCTGAAATGTTCCCTTGAGATTTAGAGAATTTTTCCTTTTGGGACTCAATGACCATTCTACCCCTAATTAGCAGGAAAAATGGGGAGTGGAAATGCAAGGAAATTGCATGGAGAATAGTTTGAATGGGGATGTTTTTGCAAAGAATGAAAGGTCTTAGGTGGAATTTTAAAGAAGTAGCAAGGGTATATTGGGAAAGAGTGGAGAAAATATGAGATATTAAGGGTTTAGCTTTAGAAACCCTTTCATTGATTCTTCTCCACTGCCTCTTTCATCCTTCACTTCTCTCAAATTTTCATCCAATTTTCCAAGGATCTTTGAAGAGTTTTTGACTAGAAATTGATACAAGTTGATCCTAAGCACTTAAAGGTGAGAATCCTTACTCTAGATGTGAATTTTATTGTTGAAAGAGTAGGATCCTTATTGAGTTTGTGTTGAAGGTTTAAGAGAAAGTATCAAGCCACAAGAGTAGAAAGCTTAAGTGGATTCTACTTGAGCCTAAGGATGTAAATCCACCTAAGTTGTGATTTGCATGATTGAATGACGTATAGAGATGTTATATATGATTAATGCTTGAATTTCTATGTTTGAAATGAGTTGATGAATTCATGAATGAGTTCAATGTTGTTTTATGAAGGAATTTCCACCATGAGTAGGGTGGATTGTGTTGATAAATTTTGGTAGAAGTATGGAGAGAATTAGAAGAATTTGAGAGGAATATTTGAAGTGTGTTTTCTTTGCAAAATGTGTGATGATTTAAAGGAGTTGAACTCCAATTTTGGATGGTTAAGAAAGAAGTATAATTAAAGTTAGAATAGAGTTTATGTATGCACACATATTGTTTGATGAAATGCCTAAAAGAAGCATGAGTAGAAGTAGAGAACCCTACTTTATGCAACATAGCATATTTGCATTTCATGAATACATATAAGAAAGATTTTAGACATGAGCCATCCTTATGCATCTATTTAATTGAGTAATCATATAAGAAATGAGAAAGAAACACTCTATGAATAAAGATAAAGAAAAGAACCAATTCTCTTAGAATAAAGAGAAAGAAAGAATTAGCGCTAGAGAATTAAATGAATATTAAGTGCTATAGAAAAGAAAAGAAAATAGGTTGTGCGATGGGGAACCCGTGAGTGTAGAGTTACCCTCATGTAAACCGCTATGAGACAGAGCGGTCTCCGCCATGAGAGAGCGGAATGCATGTAAACCGCTATGAGAGAGAGCGGTCTTTGCCATGAGAGAGCGGAATGCATGTAAACCACTATGAGAGAGAGCGGTCTCCGCCATGAGAGAGCGGAATGCATGTAAACCACTATGAGAGAGAGCGGTCTCTGCCATGAGAGAGCAGAATGCATGTAAACC